GGTTGCTGTATGTGAAAGACCAATGCACCAACCTACCATGGTTGCTCTTTCTAACTAAAGCTGATGCAGTGTCAGGTGACTGCATAGCGTGGTTCTTTGTGGGGGAAAGAAGATGTTGCGGGGGGGCATCTGTATCCTGGGATCCTCTGAGGGAAGGAGTGGGCTCCAGGGTTGGGTGCTGGATGGCTCAGGGGATTAGCGAGGGTCTATTGTAGACCTTTCACATCTAGGTTGCTAGTTCAAATCTTACACAGCTTGGCAGCAACTGTTACAATTTCCTGGCTAGTCAGTGAAATGAGTTTGTTGATCTCCGGAGGGTTCACATCACAATTTGCACTCCATGGCCCCCTTCCTGGCAGTCTTGGGGAATAGGCCAAGGACAGCATGGGCCCTAAAGACTGAATTATCTAGAGATTGTCTAGGCAGGTGTAGGCTGAGGCACGCGGCTAGCACAGTGTGTAGAAACTAGCCTTGCTGCTGCTGCTGTAAGTGTTCTGTAGCTAAACAGAGATTTTGGGACTTTAAATCTGTCACCTTCCAGGAACCTGAAGTTCATAGGAACATTGTTTAAAAGGAGGGAAAAAACCCTCTGATATTACAAGGCTATTCAGAACAGATGATGGCACTACCATCCCAAAAACAGCGTTCCACTGTGGTCAGCACCTCCGTGAATGCCACAAGTAATCTTGTATCAGAGGGGTAGCCGTGTTAGTCTGAATCTGTAAAAAGCAACAGAGGGTCCTGTGGCACCTTTGAGACTAACAGAAGTACTGGGAGCATAAGCTTTCGTGGGTAAGAACCTCACTTCTTCAGATGCAAGTTGTGAAGGCCACGAAAGCTTATGCTCCCAGTACTTCTGTTAGTCTCAAAGGTGCCACAGGACCCTCTGTTGCTTTTTACAGATTCAGACTAACACGGCTACCCCTCTGATACAAGATTACTTGTGGCATTCACGGAGGTGCTGACCACAGTGGAACACTGTTTTTGGGCTCGGGAAACAAGTACTGCGTGGTGGGATCACATCGTCATGCACATCTGGGATGATGAACAGTGGCTACAGAACTTTCAGATGAGGAAAGCCACATTCATGGGACTGTGATGAGCTTGTCCCAGCCCTGCAGCGCAAGCACACGAGAATGAGAGCTGCCCTGCCACTGGAGAAGTGCGTGGTGATTACACTGTGGAAGCTGGCTACTTCAGACTACTATTAATCGGTTGCAATTCCCAAAATCAGATCCACTTACCAGGGGCCTCCTCCCCTGTTTGTGCTTTGCCAGCATCTGACAGGTGTGACTGGCTAACCTCCAGGGTAGAAAAGAGCTCCTAGAATCATAGAATATCAGGGTTGGAAGGGACCTCAGGAGGTCATCTAGTCCAACCCCCTGCTCAAAGCAGGACCAATCCCCAGACAGATTTTTGCCCCAGATCCCTAACTGGTCCCCTCAAGGATTGAACTCACAACTCTAGGTTTAGCAGCCCAATGCTCAAACCACTGAGCTAGCCCTCCCCCCTCCTTCTCATAATACATGAGCTAGGGGTCACCCCAATGAAATTAATAGGCGGTAGTTTAAAACAAATGGAAATATTTTTTTCACACAATGCACAGTCAACCTGTGGAACTTCTTGTCAGAGGATGTTGTGAAGGCCAAGACTATAAGAAGGTTCAAAAGCTCCTGGCTGCATGCATCTCTGACCTCTGAGTCATCCTCTGCCTCTGGGTCCCCCCCCTCGTCCAAGATTTCTTCCTCCCAGCTTGGTCCACTTTCAACTGGCATGCGAGCCACTGAAGTATCCACAGTGGCCTTCGCAGTGGAGGTGGGGTCGCCACCGAGTATCGCGTTCAGCTCTTTGGAGAACTGGCAGCTCGTGAGCGCAGCACCGGAGTGGCGGTTTGCCTCCCACACCTTGTGGTAGGTGTTCCGCAGCTCCTTCACTTTGACCCTGCACTGCAGTGTCCCGGTCATGGCCGCTTTCTGTCATGCATCGTGAAATCTGTCCGTAGGTATCAATTCCTACGGCTGGAGCATATCTGGGACTCGACAGCCTCCTCTCCCCAAATGCTCATGAGGTCTAGCAGCTTAGCATTGCTCCAAGCGGGGAATCGCCTAGTGCATGGAGCAGACATGACCACCTGGAAAGATGCGCTGAGACCAGGAAGGGGACTTTCAAAATTCCAAAGGAATTTACAGGGTGGGGATGACGGTTAGTCACCTTAGGGCAGGGCAGTAGAGTTCAAACCGATGACCAGAGAGGTGAGATCAGGCATTGTGGGACACCTCCTGGAGGCCAATCACAGCACTGTAATTGACCACGGTGTTTACACTGGTACCGCAGCGCTGTAGCCCCGGCGCAGAAAGCTCTATGCCTCTTGTCGGGGTGGTTTTTTTACAGCGCTACAACTGCGCAGTTTCTGCGCACTAAGTGGTTTGGCAGTGTGTACGCCTCGGGAATTACAGCGCAGAAAGCTGCTTTACTGCACAGAAACTTGCCAGTGTAGACAATGGAGTTGGCCAGAGACCAGGAGAAAAGAACCTGGTGGTTATTCTCCCTGATAAATACCTTAATCTCAGAGCCACTCCCCTCCCATATGAAGTGACTTTCTCTTGCCAACTATGGTGTCAGATCCTCTTTTAGGGGAAAATGTTTTCTTGTGAAATCAGGACAGGCAGGGGCAGATCAGCTTTGAGGATGTGCACATACCCATGGCTGCATTCCTGTGGGTCTGATTTGCTGGCTCCTAACGCATTGGCCTATCCTGGATGTTTGCTGACCAGAGAAAAGCAAAGAGAAATTTCTCCCTGCAGTGGGCTGGCCTACCTTTCCTAAGAGCTTGTCTACATGTAAAGCGCGATAGCTGCACCGCTGTAGTGCTTTAGTGAACACACAACTACACTGATAGAGCTCCTTCCATCAGCATAGTCAATCCACCACCATGAGAGGCAGGAGAAACCCTCCTGTCGACACAGCACTGTCTACACCAGGGGTTAGGTCAATATAACTGCATTGCTCGGGGGGGGTGCAATGACCAGCAGATCATATGAAACCAATTTGCATGTGCTTCTCCCTCCTAGTACTTGTTGAAATTGACCTTGGGAGCCAGAGCTGGCTCTTGAAAAGGGCTTAGGGCCTTCATCATCTATAGGAGAAGTAAGCTGGCCCAGAGTTGGAAAGGGATAACATACAATTAGTAAGGCTATGTTTTAGTCACGGGTGTTTTTAGTAAAACTCATGGACAGGTCACGGTCAAGTTAAAAAAAAAAAAATCATGGCCCGTGACCTGTCTATGACTTGTACTATACCCCTTGGGTCCTCTGGGGGGGAAGGCAGCCCAGGGGCACCATGGGCACCCTTGCGGGCGGGGCGACCTGTGACCCTTGCTGGTGCTGGGGGGTGGGGGTTGGCAGGGCTGGCAAGCTCCCTACCTGGCTCTGTGCAGCTCCCCAGAAGCAGGGACATGTCCCTCAGCTCCTAGGCACAGGGGCAGTCGGGGATTCCGTGTCCTGCCCCTGCCCTGAGTGCCGGCTCTGCAGCTCCTATTGGCTGTGGTTGCGGGTGGAGGCAGTGCGCAGAGCCCCCAGTCCCTCCACCTAGGAGCCAAGGGACATGTTGCCGCTTCCGGCAGCCCCCCGAGGTAAGCACCGCCTGGAGCCGTCACCCCTTCCCGCGCCCCTGCCCCAGCCCTGAGTCCCCTCAAGCACCCAAACTCTTGCTGCTGTTGGGGGGAGAGTCACGGTGGGCCAACGCTGCCCCGAGCTGCTCAGGCGGCCCCCTGGCCAGCTGCACCGGCTGCTGCAGAAGTCACAGAGGTCTCGGAAAGTCACCAGAATCCGTGACCTCCGTGACAGGCTCGCAGCCTTAACAATTAGCCATTGGAACCCATTGCAACAGGATATCTCTTGGGCCAAATGCTTCGCAGGATTCCAAAGAAGGATTAGATATTTGTTTGGCTATCAAGTCCAGAGTTATAATAGGCAGGAGTTTGGAAGGGATATAAACTTTCTTGCTTAAGGGTTTAAGGCAACCTCTATTAAATTACACAGGTTAGGAGGGAACTTTTCTAGGGGGCAGATATCCCATAATTGCGAACTGCAGGATTTCTTGCTCCTTCCTCTGAAGCAGCTGGTGCTGCCTACTGTTGGAGACAGGATATTGGACTGAATATCCCTGGGGTCTGATCCAGTCTGGTGATCCCTAAGAGAAGTGTTTACATAAAGGATTTAGTCTCAGGCAGAAGGGGAAGTGGCTGGTACAATAGTTCCTGCTGGAGATGGTTGTTGAATGTAAGGAAGAATTCCCAGGAAGGGACTGAGTCATCTGGACACTGTCTAGGATGGGAGGATTCTTATCCTGAGGGTGAATCACACTTGTATAGAGCTTTCTCCTTCATGTCCACAAAATTCCTCTCCATTTCCTGACATTCTTATGGAGTGATTCCTGTTTGATCTGGATAGAGGGTGTAGTTTTGAACAGGCATGGGACTTATATTTCCTTTGTTCAAATAGGACAAAAAATGAAAAGGGGGGAGGAGCGATGTGTCCATTTTCTTCCTGAGATGTTTCTTTACTGTGATGTTTGGGATTGCTATTACAGTAGGCAATACAGTGCCCCAGTCAGGATCAGGGTCCCATTGTGCTAGGCGCTGTCAAACGTGGGTAGCCTGGTCCCTACCCCAAAGACAGTCCAGTCCAATTGCAGATGAGCCATAAGAAGTGTGCCTAACAAACGTAAGGAGGAGTGGATGGGGGATAACATAATAAGATGAGATGATTACACAGCCTCTCTCTGATTCTGTCAGGAGCGATAGAATGCAATCAGGACGCAGGAGTTTTCATTTTACAGCTCTTTCTGGAGTCTCATCAGTCACCATGCTGGGGTTCCTCGGTGGGGCACCTCCACACCGGCTTTGAGGAGTGATTGCTGTTTGCAAGAGGAGAGCAGTGATGCCTCCCTGGGGGGAGACAGGAAAACTAACAGGCTTTTCTTCTTGTATCACATTTCAGAGACCAGCTGAGCCGGGAAGATGCGTGAGTACACGGAGAAGAAGGAGACATGCGGCACTATCTGCCTCAAATACCTGCTCTTCATCTTTAACTTCTTCTTCTGGGTAATGTGCCAGCTCCCTCACCGCATTTGTGTGCCTCACCACATCCCTCGTTGAGGGCTACATCTGTTGTTTCAATGGCCAGGGGGGTGGGATGGATAGCATGGGTGAAATCCTGGCCCCACCAAAGACAATGGCAAAAATGCTCCTTGACTTCAGTGAGTCCCGGATTTCACCTCAGGTATCTAACTAGACCCAAGATGCCAACATTGGGACTATAATCTGACCAGGAGTAGGCCCTGAAATGATCACATATCGACAGCAGTGGGCGGCCTGAAAAAGTGCTGTTTTGCCCACTTCAGGGGAGGGTGACCCAGGGCACAATTCTTAAGGCATCAGATACTCCAGGGCAGCCCATAGACAAAGGACATCCTTCAGTTCGTCTCTCGTTCTGCCCCGTGGCATAGCACAGGCTGGCAGTGGAATGAAGATGGCTAGGCTGGGATTATGGGGGTAGTCGCTGCGGTTATGTCTACACTAGAGTTTTTACCTCAAGTTAAATGATGGCCAAGGGATCAGCCTATTGTCAGCCACAGACATCCGTGGGCTAGAAGAAATGATTGTGGAGGGTCCTGACTAGCCTTTACAGAGGAATGAATTATGAACTGCCTCAGTGAATTGGCAACCAGGGAAAAACCTCTAGGGAACACAAGTCCCATAAAGAGGAAGGGGAGCCTGAAGGAGAGAAGTTGGCACATCCAATGTGCCCCGACTGCGGGGGCATTCCTGTGCTAATGGTCATTCTCACTGGAGTTTAGCTAACCAGGGTTCCCACCTTTTATAGCCTTGCCCCCCCAGTGGTTCTGTCCTGGAGGGGGGTAGACACAGCTGTTGTTTCGAAGCAGTCAGTATCACTCCTGGATCAGCCAGCAAGGCTGCAAAGCAAAGCATCCCCCCCCCTCTCTTCTTCTCCATTCCCTGGCATCTAGGCAGCACTTAAGCAATCGTGAGAGCTAAGAGACTGGTTAAGGTTGGAAACTTAGAACTCCAGTTACAAAGTTCCCCGCCCAGCATGGGCAAACCCCCAGCCAGCTGTCATCCCCTTCCAGCTGGAATACTGTGCCTTGACTCCCTGGAACCTCCCAGGGCCCTTGAGAGACTGGGGAGAGAGGAAGAATCGGCTTCATTTAAAGCCTGATCAAAGCCCATTGAAATCAGTGGGAGTCTTTCCCTGGACTTGAGTAGGTTTTGGATCAGTCCCTCTGTCAGCAAGCTGAAATCTGATCCCTGTGGCCCAGCAGGGGATGCCACTCCTGAAAAGGAGGAAGTGCCCACCTCAGATGCATCTCACCTGCTTGCCTCTCTCTTTATTAAGCTGGCAGGTGGGGCGGTGATGGCGGTGGGTATCTGGACTCTGGCCGAGAAGAGTGACTACATCAGTCTCCTGTCCTCCAACACGTACATGGCGACCGCCTACATCCTGGTGGTGGCGGGAATCGTCGTCATGATTACCGGGATCCTCGGGTGCTGCGCCACCTTCAAAGAGCGGCGGAACCTGCTGAGAGTGGTAGGTTTCCTATTTGCCCCAGGACAGTGCTGGGCACCAAACGTCTTGTGCGTGTGAGGAGAGAGCTGCATCTCTGTTCCTCTGGACCTAGAGAGACGTACCGGTGACTCCCTGACTGGCCCGCTCTCCTGTTTGGGATGGATTGTCTCTATTACAGAGGAGACTTTCCTTTCTTTCTGTCCCACTCAGAGAATGTATTGGTTTCTGTGTGTTTCCAAAGGTGCTAAATAATAAATATATGATACTTTTCATCTGAGCATGTCAAAACATTTCCAAGCAAAGGAAATGTTCAGGCTGGTAGGGAAAAAATGGGAATAAATTTGGGAGTGAAGGCAGGGTGGGGCATTTAAAACCAAAAAATAAGTAATTGTGATTCCACTTGATTCAAAGCAAAACATTTCTTTTGATTGGTTTCTTGAGCATTGCAAAATTTCGAACAGTACAAAAATTTTCACACACATACAGCCCTAATTTTTTTTTTTTTTGGTCAAAAAAACAAACAAAAAATCACTTGACATTTTTGACTAGCCCTAATAAATCTCAGGTCTGGGCTATACTGCAGACCTATAGCGGTGTGAAAAATTCACACCCCGGAGTGACGTAGTTATACCGATCAAACCCTCCATGTAGACAGTGCTACGTCGGCAGGAGAACTTCTCCTGTCAATATAGCTACTGCCTCTCGGGGAGGTGGATTAGATGGGAGAGCTTTCTCCCATTGACATAGAGCGTCTTCATTAAAGCACCATAGCGGCCCAGCTGTGCCGATGCAGTGTTTTAAGTGTAGACTTGCCCTAATTCTCACTCACTCGCTCTCAAATCTCCTTTGCGGTCCAGACGATATACTTATCTCATAGAGCTGGAAGGGACCTTGAAAGATCATCGAGTCCAGCCCCCTGCCTTCACTAGCAGGACCAAATACTGATTTTGCCCCAGATCCGTAAGTGGCCCCCTCAAGGATTGAACTCACAACCCTGGGTTTAGCAGGCCAATGTTCAAACCACTGTGGCAGTGGTTCATCAAGCAGCCCATCTGCAGTGGTGAGTGTAGTGACTGCAAACAAAGGGCCATTAATTGTCATTTCATAGTAACAAAAGGGGACACTTCCACTCGGGCCTTAACCGTTCCTTCAGTTTTGCAGACTGCTTTTGACCTGAATGTCCCATCCCCTTTGTCCGAGTGGAGTGGAGACTGGGGCGGGGACAGGGAAAGAGGAGCCATGATGAACAATATCGACCAGACGTACCCTCTGTCTGTGATCCCACTTTGTGGGGTGTGGGTGTGAACTGAAAATACAAGATGGTGGAAAATGCCCCTAAAAGGCCTATGACAAGCTCTCAGGAGCTCTTGTTAGTGGCTCGTTCATTTGGTTCTTGAGGGGTGGTATTTGGCCCCTGGCCCTTAGCAGTTCGTTTTGGCACTAGCATAATTATTCACTGTGCTAAAGAGCTCTATTCATCTCCCTTTGTCTCTCTTTCTCCCCTCCCCCCTCCCAAGTTACAGATGAAAATCTGGTGGGTTTTCTTTGTTATTCTGACACAGAAAACTAATAATTGTCTCATGGAAACAAAAGGTTGTTCTCTGTCTTTTCTTTCCCGCTCTGCCTGTGACAGATCTATTGTCTCTCCTCTCCGCTGGCTTAGTTGATACTAAGTAATCCACAAAAGAAATATTTTGTGCTGGGCAGGGCTGAGTTGGTCTGGCTGGAGGCTCCTGCCAGCTCTGAGCTCAGCCAGTAATCCCAACATCTTCACAACAAAGAGAAAGGCATCTGTGCCAGTCTGTCCCAATTTCTCTCTGTACCAAAGGGCCATGTATATAGCGAGGTATGCTGCGATGGGGAGTGTCCTGTAATTTTCCAAACCCAGAGGCTCTTTAAAGCAAGTTGCAAGAATAATTTCAGACGGGGGGGTGGGGAGGAGGGGAGGGTTTGATCCAGGAAGGTATATTCTAGCTGCTTTTATAGCTACTGGTGAGTTTTCACTCCCAGTTCAAGGCTTTCCTCTGTGTTTTGTTTCTCATTGCTTATTACCAGGATATTTGTGTGTCTAGAGCATTTTTCTCTTTCGCAGCCAGCCAGATTCACTCAGGGATGCCACAGTGATCCAAGCACTTGTGACGCCACAGTTGCTTCCGTGGGTTCCAGGCCTGCAGCCTGTTGACATCAGTGAGAGACACTCCTGTGAGCAAGAGCTGCAGGATCAGGCCCGCAGTGATGAGCTGTGATGTCACAAAATCTGGCTTGTTATAGTTCACCCTGACTTTGAGTTTCAGGTCCTCCCCCACCCCGATGGTGCAGCAGGCCAAGGAACCGTCTGGCCCCTAGCATAGGCTAGAGCAATCCCAAGGCCTACTCTAACTGGAGCTCAGATTCTGTAGCCGTTCTAACATTCAGTCAGGGCACAGGGATGTTCAGGTTGCACACCCAACATACCCTGAGATGTCCCTATCCTATGGACTGCAAAGATGTAGGGTTGCCACCTAGGATTCCCCCTTTACCAAGGAAATGGCTGTTAAGCCAACTTTCATATGCTTTACACTGCTGGGATAGCATAAAGCAGGGAGAAACGTAACTGAGAATCAGGAACATAATGTATGTTACTGTTGTGTACACAGCTCATTACAAGCGATCATGGGTCTTAACAATCACGTGGAGACAAATATAGTGCACATGATAAAAGCAGGAGCCTGTCAGGGGTCACCAAATGAAATTAAGAGCGAGCAGGTTTAAAACAAAAAGAAGTATTTCTTCACACGACGCACAGTCAACCCGTGGAACTCTTTGCCAGAGGATGTTGTGAAGGCCAAGACTATAACGGGGTTCAAAAAAGAACTAAATAAGTTAATGGAGGATAGGTCCATGAATGGGTATTAGCCATGATGGGCAGGGATGGTGACCCTAGCTTCTGTTTGCCAGAAGCTGGGAATGGATGACAGGGGATGGATCACTTGATGATTACCTGTTCTGTTCATTCCCTCTGGAGCACCTGGCATTGGCCACTGTCAGAAGACAGGATACTGGGCTAAATGGACCTCTGGTCTGACCCAGTATGGCCATTCTTATGTAGAATAGAAGAGCTAAATATAAAAGATAGCCCTTGTTTTTCCCACATACATATGCCTCTCTCGAATATTTACATACACTGGAAAAGAGAATTGGTGGAAAGCATTTTGCTATTATTATTTAGATTACATCTGTGTCCAGAGCCTACAGCTAGGCTGGTGCCCCATTGTACAAAGTGCTGTACGTACAGAGTAAGAGACAGGTCCTGCTCCAGAGAACATAGTCTAAATAGGTAAGCTGTAACTGGTAAACGAAACAACCAGTCAGGGCTAACAATAACAACAAGATGTTTTAGCACAGGCTAGCTGAGTGCACAAGTGGTAGCTGTAGTAACCTTCACTCTATATAAGCTTTGATAAAACCTGTTTGCTAAAAAGTGGGAGGGCTCTATAAGATAATATGGTGAGCTGAGGCCTTGTGATATGTGCCAGCTGCACTGGAATGCCTTTGACATCAGTGCAGAAAATACCCCATATGTAGAAAATAGATGAAGGAAAGAGAAACTTTCCAGTTAATTAGTTGTTTTCTTTCCCCTAATGCAGCAGCCTGACAGCACCATGATGTCAGAGGTATTACATAACCGGGCTCCAACAAAAAAAGAAACCTTTTGTTTAGGAGTGTTCCTCTCCTTTTCTGTCCCTTTCAGCCTCCCATTAGTGTGGCGCCCAGCCTTTGGTTATCCAGCACTCCATCGGGTGACTCATTCCCATGGTATGAATGGGTACCTTGTACAAGCATGTGCAGACACTTGCAATGTTCAGCTGAGAGCCAGTGGGGGGAGTTTAGGGCTGTGAGTGAATGCCTGGGATTGTACACTCCTATTAAAGCCCAGCCTGCGGATAAAACCCAGTTGTCCCTCCCATGCAGCTGCTGAATCCCGGCAGAAGGTGAAAGAAGAAATCTGACTCAATGGACAAGGATTCTGAGTTGGCAGAATCTCACTGGGGCAAGGCGTTTTGATTACCTGTGTCTTCTGACAAAAGGGGGAGCGCGGTGAGAAACGGAGGTGTCACTCAGCAAAAGACAAGCTGTGATGCAAAGGCAAATTTGTTGCCTCCAGTTCTTTGCTTTTCCTAGCAGGGTTTTGTGGTGTTCTGTTTTTTGTAACCTATAGATGCATTTATTTGATGCTAACCAGGGATTTTTGGAGGGGTGTGTAGCTCCTTTTGTGGGGCCAGGGGTGTAGTAATACATGGTGTGCTATAATTCAGGACTGAGGGACAGTTGGAGCCCGAAGACTGGAATTTCTAGGGAATCCCACAAAACGGAGATAACTTGCATTGGCAGAGGTGCCTGGCTCTTTGGGGGGTTGCAGGCACTTGATGGGACTTTGCTGGTACAGCTAGATATCAAATCCTATACTGTGTTTCCCATGCAGAACCGCATGAGGCTGCAAGGAGAACAGCCATCGGGGTGGGGCAAACATGGGACTTTCCAGCATGACTTCTTTCTGTGAAATAAGCTTGTGCGCATGGGGCAGTGTCTCTGACTGGTTCCTAGTGGAGTAAATCACCATCAGAACTGACACTACCTGACAATCGTAGCAGAAGGGCCACAGTTAGAATGAGTATGTGACAGTCCCTAGAAAAGGTCTCTCCAGCTCTGGGCAAAGTTCTCTGGTGGGGCAGTGTGTGGGGAAGATGACACTGCTGAGTGCTGTGCGGTGCCTGTGCTGTGATGACATAGAGTATTACAGGATGAGCCCAAATTTAGGCCCTTGGAGCTGTAGAATGACCTGGCCGTTGCTGCTTAGGTGACCATCACCATGGTGACATGACATTCAGGATAGTAGCTTAAATGAGAGCAGGGCATAGCCCTGTTTTCTGAGAGAATTTGGACTCGTGGTGTACATGATACTTAGATCCCACGGCACCGGATGCTTTAGAAAGAGAGCACTGGTTGGTCTTCAGGGATGTCAGTTTGATATCTTCACCAAGATTAAAATTACATTAAGAGCATTTTTTGAAAATTTAAACAGACACAAGGAGTGTAAAAGATTAAACAATACGCCCAGGTTCAATTAATCCCTTCTGTATCTCACTGGACTCAATAGAGTTACACCAAGGATGGAGGTCAACCCTCCATGGTTAATTGTTGTGGGTGAAATTCACTTCTAGGACTTACGTACCACTGTGACTAGTTCGGTGTTTGCACTACTTAAGGTTAAGCTCCGTTATGAGGGTTTACTTGGTACCAGTGTGGCGCATAGGGATGAATTTCACTCTGTGTGAGTAACAGGCACATTTCAATACAGAGCTCCAGTGCTGATGTTTCACTCTGCATTCTCTTAGGTCCCCGGAGCAAGGAATTTCCCACCCCAAATCAGGAAGCATTGCAATTTCCAGATGGTGCCACCTTGTTGCATTGTTTCCTCCTTTGAACAATTGGCTGACTATTGAGTACAAAGTCCCTGCAGTTGCTCTCTGCATTGCAGCCTCATCCTTGGCTTCTGCTCAATTTCAAGAGCCTTCCCCATAGGATGCATAGTTATTCTGGGGCTCCCACCGCCTGGCGCAGTCAGATGTTCCTCTCCTATTTAACAAGCTAATGTTGAGTTTCTACAGAGTAACTGGTGCAGCTGCATTTTGGGGGTGGGGTGGGTGGCATCTGCAATTGAGCTGCTGCATCCGTGGAATCCAGTTAGTTGCATTTAATTAGTTATACATGGCTGCTCATAGGAACGACCATGCCATATCACACCCATGGTCCATCCAGCCCAAAATCTTATGTCCGTCGCTGGGCAGTACAGGCTGCTTCAGAGAATGATGCAGGAGCCCCTAGAGAATAGGCAATTATCGATTAACTTGCCCAGAGTGATAGTTTCCTCCTAACACCTTTGAGTTATGCCCTGAAACATGAAAATTTAGTTCTCTTATACATTTTCTTTATCCCACCTAATGTGACTGGGGATGTTCTTATCCAATCAGTGTCCTGTCTCTTTTGGAATCATGCTAAACTCTTGCCTTCATGATACATTGTAGCAGAGAGTTCCTCACGCTAAGCGTGCATCATGTAAAAAGAGAAATCCTTATATCAATAAATGTGTTACTTTTCAATTTCATTGGATACCCCGTAGGAAAAAGGGTAAATAGGAGCTGTCTCCTCCAGTTCAACTGTAATTTCTGTCTTGCCCTTTATTAGATACACTTATATCACTACTACCCTCATCTTTCCTTCCTCCTTTACTTCCTACTCTTTGATAAGCCCTCTTGTTGCTGCCTGTCTTAAATTACATTATAACCTTTTCCATGCCCAGCATCCAATACAATGAGCCCCTAATACAGATCAGGTCCTTTGAGAGCTGCTGTAAGACAAAGAATAATACTGATAGATTTAAGCCTTTTTCCTGATCATCTAAATTTAACTTCCAGGACTTCTCTCCCACGCTTCCTGATGCTCTCTTTTAACAAAAACGATTTTACCATTGTCTTGCAGTACTTCATATTGCTGCTGTGCATTTTCCTGCTTGAGATCATTGCTGGAATCCTGGCCTATATCTACTACCAACAGGTAAGTGGATGTCGAACTAAGAGGATCAATCCAGAGAGAGCGGGAGCAGCTACTTATCACCCAATTTCTATTTAGAGATTGGGCCTAAGCCAACATTTCAAGGGCTTTGAATCCGTGGTTTGGTTTGGGCCCATCTATTCCTCACCCCAGCTTGATTCCCTCCTTATTCACATCCCCCAATATACAAAATGCATCAGGTTTTAAACCATATTTGACAAGGCCTTAGTCTGTTACGTGAGTATATGGGAGTCAGATGAAGTTCAGCTCCTTCCTGCACATCATCTTTTCTCCCCCCTCCCTCTGTGAAGAGAGCTGTTGGAGTGAATCCTCTTGTTTCTAGTACAGAGGATCAGCCTGAGGATTTTTCTGATGTCCGGAAAGGAAACAAGGGGCAATTGTAATTATAGTTGTGCCGTCTAGTATGTCCATGAAGCAGAACATAAAAATGGCCCATCTAGCCCAATATCCTGACTTCTGACAATGGTCGTCAATGGCAGATGCCTCAAAGGGAATGAACAGAACAGAGCAATCATCAAGTGATCCACCCCTATGGATCACCCCAAGTGATCTGGCAGTCAGAGGCTTAGGGATGCCCAGAGCATGGGGTTGTGTCCCTGACCATCTTTGCTAATAGCCAAGCAGAAACGCTCCCGGCTAAACCCAGGAAGCTCATGGACGGGAAATGGTCCAACTGGGGATAGAGCAACACCGCCACAACTCAAAATATCCCCGAGGGTCAGCTGCAGTCATAGACAACTGAGCTTGAAATCCCCAAGAGGGAGCGATGGCTTCATGTTATCACGCTGGATATGGCCGACGAGAGGCATACCACTTGGGAGGCTCCCTCAGACGAGGCTTCTCTCCCCCACCCTTTGAGGGAGGCTGGGTGTCTGAAGAGGGCAGACTGTTGGAGGTTGTCTGAGGAGGTGTGTCTGACAGGGAAGTGTACATTGCAGAGGGGTACAGGCGTTTTCAGTGGCTCTGTGCTCACATACTCTAGGCTTCCCTGGATTACACCCTTAAGCTGGGAACTTTCATCCTGCCTCAGGGCTCCCAGACTTTGCCCCCCACCTCCCACAAAGGTGGCATTAGCAGTTTGCTTGTAGCTAAAGAGCTACGCCTCATTTGTATCAAGTGAAATACATTCCAGCTGCCTCTGTCTTTAATATGGAGGATCGGCCCCATGGAGGCTATTGGATCCAAAAAGCCATGCTCCATCTGGACCTGAGCAAAGACTAAAGTAACACATGGCAATGGATGAAATGGTGGAAACTTCTTGGATCAAGGTGGAGCGTGGCATGCTGGGATTGTAGTCTCTCTGGCAGAGCCGCAGGCTGCTTTGTAGATCACCCACTGGCATTTGGCTTACTAGCTACACTGATTCCCCTCACCCTCTTTTATGTAAAAGTCCTTCCTTCCCTGGGCTCCGTCTGCTTTCTCTCTTTGCAGCTGGTTTTCTTTCTCCCCTTCCCTTGCTGTCGCGTCCAGTGCGTGCGTATAAACTGTGTGTTTCTTTTGCTGTCTTTGTTCCATGCTGCAGTTCTTCCCCGTGAGCCCGCAGGTAACTGCTTTTCTCCTGAGTAATATTTCCGCTAGTGGACTCTGTCTCTTTGTTTGCCTTTGGTGCCCATGAGCTGCCAAACTTTTCTTCTTCTGTTTGCTCCTCTAAATATTTTGCACTTCTAAAGAGCCCAAGATCTCAAAGCACTTTGCAAACGTTAATGAATGAAGTCTCGCATCATCTCTGGGAGGTAGGTGTTACTCCCATTTGACAGAAGAGGGATGAAGAACCACTACTACATTCAGCAGATTTGAAGTAGGGGAGAAAAACTCGGGCCATATTCCCCCAACCCAGTGTAACCGAAACGTTCTTTACCTGCATTCCACCCCACAATTATTGCTTATTACTAAGAAATACATGTACATAGAAAAGCTTTTTCCCTATCTGGCCATTTGGCCTTTCCCCCTGTTTGGTTTATTCAGCGATGCCATCTACACGCATGATGACGTTGTTCAGGAACATGGGAGAATTGTGATTTCACAGGCACTGGATTATGGCATCGTTACTGAATGGACCAGGCAGGAGGAGGCTGATTAGAAAGGAGGCAAATTTTAGCCATATTTTGTCTATCCGCAGGGATGGGCAGGAAAATACCAGAAAAGGACATAGCAGTCTGGTGGTGCATCAGCCAGCTAGACAGAGAGAAGTTTGTGGATACATTAGTGTGTGTGTGTGTGTGTCACTGCAAAGGACACTTTCATGCTTGACATGCTCCACATATCAAACCTTCTTTCTGAGCAAGGTTCAGAAAGCCAGAATGACATATCTCTAGTATCACAAGGGCTGCTGCAGTCTGGGAGGCAAGAGTCTTAAAATCCCTCCTCGTGCTCTCAATCTCCTTGTGCGACATCCCTTTCAATCTCTGATATAAAAGGTATGTAGACTGCACAACTTCAGTCCAGCAGGTCCAGGGCTCTGAATTCCTAACACTCCTAGCCAGATCCTTTTGGATTTAGTTCTCCAGCAGCCCTGTTTCCGGAGGCGTGAGAGCCCCTTTGATCCTAGAGGAATATTCATAAGGCAGGAATGAGATTTTTAGAGAAGGGCAATCCTGTTCTGCGGCAGGTCTGTCCCTCTGGATGGCACCCCTTTCAATGCGGAGGCAGGCTCATGCTGGCCTTGCAGGGCAGGGGAGAATGATGTTTAAAGAGTCAGGAGAGGCAGAAATAAGTGCCTGTGCTTTCTTGGAACCAATAGGGACTACACTAGAGGCAGGGTTATAGCTTCCACAAAGTTCTCTGCTGTTCTCCAGGAGTGAAGATGATAGAAAATATAAAGGGGTGATGATAAGGAAGGTGTCTGCCTCATGATTTCACCTCTGCTACCCCTTTTGTTTAGCTGAGTATGGAGCTGAAGCAAAACCTGAAGGACACCATGACCCAGAAGTATAGGAAGGATGGAGAGGAGGGCGTGACCAGCGCGGTGGACAAACTGCAGCAGGAGGTAGGCCTCAAAGACACAGGGAGAATTAAACCTATGATAGAGCTAAAAATGATACCATCCTTAGATCACTGGCTCCTTATCATTAAAGAGATAACGGTGTTCCCCATGTCACGCTGTCTGGAGTGGTCAATGACCGTGAGTGCCAGCCTCAGGGCAGACTGTCAAAAAGCAGGGCAGAGACCCCAAACTTGTGGTATGTTCTATAATTGGATTTCACCAAAGCAGTAACAGATGTGAACGCCTGGATCACTGTACTAGTCTTACCATGAAGTGACAGATAGTCGCCTTGGGCACTCTGGTCTATCTTGCCACCCAAGCAAGACAGACTTAGTGACAAAAGGTCACTTACAACAAAAATCATTAAATATTCAGGTTGCTTCCAAGAGAATGCTTTTGTTTCCTAGGTCCAGCCCTTGCGAGAATCCAAACAGCAAAGATATAACCATTTTTTCTTGTGAGCATCTTTATATGCCCTTCCCCCAGAGTTCAAACTGATGGGATGAGTGCTCCTCACATAACTTCTTCATGGGTGGATGGGGCGATCAACAAAGTTTTTGTCCTACGTTGGCCCATTTAGTCTTGATAGTCCTCCTTGATGGGCGGGGGAACCACGTTTCCTGCCTAGGTTCACCAGTTCTGAACAGGCATTTTTACAATTATAAAGCAAAACTTTCATATTACCTTATAGCATGGGATACAGGCATTACAAATAAGATTAATGCATGCAGCAACTTACAAGCACTCTATTGAGTCTAAACATTAAACACATCCTTACAAATCTAACGCCTACCTTGAACAATATTAACATAGAAGGTGAGTGGGTCTGGTTTCCAGCTATGAATTTGTCAGTGCTCAGCTGACGCCACCAGCCTTGGCAAGATGGCACCTGGCTTACCAGCATCACACCCCACTATCCCCAACTCAGACAGGATGGATATGATGCTGCATCTGCTGTCACAGAGACTGGGACTCCTGGGCTCTGAGCTGTGTGATTGCTTGAAAGGGGAAGGGTGACATTCACATCACTTGCTGAATGAACTAGTTCTGGCCAGTTCAGTATTGATATTTGCTTGCTTCCAACAGGATGGAAGTGGAGGAGTTTGGGGGGAATTGCTAATGTTAATCAAGCTTCCCAATACCCCGCAGAGTGAAGTATAATGACTGAAGTGCCCTGTTGCTCCAGGCACTGCCAGAGAGTTGGGGGACTGAGCGATCGGAATGACTGAATAGTCTTGATAACTTCATAATCCAGTACCTCTCAACCCCTCCCCAGGAGATATGCCCCTTGCTATAGACCTGAATTTACCTCCAACCCACACCAGCCTGATGTTCCACTGCCTGACTCTCACTTCTGTTATGATACATGTCCATGAGACATGCAGGGTCACTGACGTGAGGTTCTCAGGAGGGTTGTACAGGCTTTAGAATGGACTCCCACGTCACCGGGGTGGCCTGCCGGGGTGTTTTCTCACGTTCCCCGTTCTGGTCTGTTTTCTCATGCCTCGTGTTAAGGTGTTGAGCGGCTTGGTGTGTATTCTAGTGCTTGGTGTCTCCTGATTCCGTTCTCGAGGTACGGAATCCATGGAGCTGAGGACTTGGGGCTCGTTCAGGTCACAAGTAGAGAGAGGTCCAGTCTTCAGCAGTCAAAGCACTGCTGTTTGTCAATGAACAATACTAACCGGCAGTTCTGTAGTACCTCCTGTCTGAGGACCCTAGAGCAATGCACAAACGTTAATCCGGGCCTTGCCGCTCTCGGGTGAGTATTTTACAGGTGAGGAAGCAGAGGCAATGTGAGACTAAGTAACTCACTCAGTGCCCTCTGTGATGGAGATAGGAATTGAGCTCTCCTCTCCTGATTCTCAGTCCTTGGCCACAAGCCCACCTTTCCCCTCATCATTGCCATCAGGATGTGAGTGCGCTGAGGGGCACACGGATGCAGCCCTTTATGGTCTGAGGGCATGAGTTGTTCCCATAAATGGGATGAGAGACAGACAGCTGTGCGGGGACCCACCCAGGGAACAAGCTCATTCTGCTGACTACAGCTACCCCCTAGGTTGTGGGTGTGCTGAACAGCAGAGTTGTCCGCAGTCATCCGTCATTTGATTCAACGCGAGCATGATTGATGCTGTTCAGTTTTGTTGTCAAGACCAGAAGGAGCTGCAGACGAGGCCCATCTCTGTACAGAGAAGTAAGTGGCTAAAAGAAAGGCATTGTGGATATTTAAGGGACATTTTTAGGAACCTTAGACACGAAGGTCGCTCATAATTATAGCAGCTCATAAAAACACAGGCAGACATAAGCAGCTGGACTGGCCAATTGACGACGCTCTGTGGGGGATGTAACTAGGAGCTGGGTGAGGATGGATGTAGGGGATGGTGCTGTGCTTTCTGGCGACAAACTGCTGACTCATCCTGTGCTCTTGTGCGCATACAGTTCAAGTGCTGCGGCAGCAATAATGCTACAGACTGGAGTGAGAGCATCTGGATCAAATCCGCGGAGGCCGGAGGGCGGAAATTCCCAGACAGCTGTTGTAAGACGATAACAGAATGGTGTGGCCGGAGAGACCATCCTTCCAACATCTACAAGGAGGTAAAGAACAAGCTGATGTCAACATTCCCAGGATCACACTGCAGGGGGACCTGCTGGGCAGACTGGTTTGGTGCTTGCTTAGGGCTGAATGCGAAGCCTACTGAAGACAGGGGGTGGGCAGGGACTTTCCACTGAAGACTTTAGTTCTCTAACTTTGTTCCCCACCCCCAATCCCAAATGCACCCATCCGGGGAGGAGAGGGAAAGGATACTATTAACCTTTAAGCACCAGGAATCAGGGTGTCTTCACTCCAGCCACAAGAGCATTACGACAAGTGCTATAGTAATCACAGATGTCATGGGTGTGGGATCAGAGCTGATGTCCTGAATAAGCGTGGTACAAGTTACCTAGGTAGCACCTTGCAGATGGGAGTGTGGATTGGGCGTGTAGTTCATTTAAAATCAGTGCAGAAATTGCCTTCCGGCATTAAAAAGCTCGAGGAGCATGTTAAAGAATCCTGTGCAGCAGGCAGCGCTAGCGACTCGCAGCACAAGTAGCAGGGAACTTGGTTGTGGGTGGGGAACATGACGCTGACAAGAAGTGCACCCCAGGAAATGGGGAAGGGAAGAGTAGGAAGCATGTTGCTGATGGGAAAAGTGAGGCTGGCCTAGTGCTTCTCCTCTTCAGTTCCGGGCAGGAAACCTAGGTTTGAGTCCCACAATGCATGTGGCATCTCAGCAGCTTTGGCTTTGGTAGGCTTTGAACGGAGTCCCATCTAGAAGGGTGCTGGGTGCTAGGATGGTAGGGTAAATGGATTTGGCCTCCAGCATGAAGGAAAGAGAGGTCAGAAGAGGAGGGAAAAGGGGTGTTGTAGAGTCAAATTAGTACGGTCCCTGTTGGCTAGAGCTGGGCTAGGCAGTGTTTGGGTAGAGGGGAAACCCCTCTTTACTCTGACAAACAAAATAATCAACAAATGGGTAGCTAAGCACTCATCAACCTGACTCGTGGAGGGGTGAGGTCTTGCAGGGGGAATTGATTCAGGCACCCACAGTATTGTTGCGCCTTTTTGACCCGAGCGGCTAGTCAAATTTGGGGCCCTGAGGATGTTCCAGTTGGAAGTGATGGAGTCCGGTATTCTCTTTAATGCAATCGTGTTTATTTACAAGGAGCACACCAAGTCCTGCTTCTCTTAACACAAGAGGAACTGGGAACAAAAGGAGCCGTTTTTTAGTTAACCACCCCAAGAGAGACCCCAAAGGTCTCTCTAGTTTTCCCCAAGGTCACACAGGCTACTCCTTGCTTGGCTTTCTTGCTTTTTGCCTCTGCCTCCCTCTCCGAGTACCGAGTGGAACCCTGCTCCCACATGGAGCAAGTTTCTGGGCAGGCTCTAGTAGGCCTTGTTTTAGGTGTGTCCCCGTAACTGTCTCTTACAGCTATTGTTCACACATAGGGTGAACAAGGTTTTAACTAAGCCTATAGCAAAGTTTCATCTGGCTCATAACAGTATAAATACATTTGTCTCAACCTAGGGACTGTTCACTGGCTTTCTAGCCTGATTTTCCCAGCAGCATAGCCAGCGCCCTAACCTGTGGAGTCAGCACCGTGGCTGGCTGCCTTGAGACAGGTAATTAGAGGGGTGGGGAATGCCTGCTGGAATCTTTTCCTTGTTTATAATTTCCCATGATGGAAACACCGCAAATGAAGAGGTGGCCCCTTAAAGTCAGATATTCCTTCTCACAGGGCATGTGCGTTCAGCAGGACTCACACGAGGATTAGACCGAGTAACATTTGCCGCTAAGTTGAGCAGATCAGACAGATATAAGGGAAATCAGCACTCGTGCCTCAGGGCATGAATAGTGATGATGGAACCTGAGACTCTGGTTCAGCACAGTCGCCTGAAGTTCAGCTGCTTAGCCAGACTGCTCTGAGCTAGGAATGTCAGGAGGAAGGGGCGAGCTCAGGAGATTTGTTGCTGTGGGCTGGTTGGCTAGAACTGGGTAGAGCCTCTTGCCTGGCACTTCCCCCACATCTGCTTCTGGCCCCAGCAAGGAAGCGCAGAAGTGAAACTAATGACAGAGGGCCCACGAGGCAACCCTGAGACAGCATAACGGGGGAACCCAGGTCAGAGATGGGGTTGGGGGCTGCCTTTTTGACCTCTCACTGCCCACACAGCTGCCCCGTTGACCTACAAGGTGGGTGGGGTAATACCTTTCATTGGACCAACTTCTTCTGAGCCACATGGAGCTCATCTTGTCTCTCTCACCAACAGAAGTTGGTCCAATAAAAGATATAACCTCACCCACCTTGTCTCTCTAATACCCTGGGACCAACAGGGCCACAACTACACAGAGAGAGCGCCCAGGGCTTTGGAGGCTGGGTTAGCTGGGGAGAGAGCCCGTGGGTGGTGGGAGCCAGGTTAGCTGTGGAGAGCAAGAGACCGTGAGATAGCCGGGGGCTGGGCTAGTTCTGAGAAGCGAGAGCCCATGGAGTGGCAGGGGCTGGGTGAGCTCTCAGGGGAGAAAGCCTGCATGGTGGCCCCCAGGGTTTGGCTAAGAGGGGGTAGTTCAGGCAAGATTTTAGTGGGTTTGAAAAAATTAGACAAGGGTTGGGTCATGAAGGTGGTAATGGCTCCAGAATGGGGCAGCTGGGGATACCGTAGATTTTGAAGTCCAACCATGGAACAAGCAGGACATGTGCCTCTCAACCCCTACCTCCTCTGCCTGTATGTTACACTCCTGTCCCCTCCCTCCGTCTCTCTCTGTAGGTTGTAAGCTCTCTGGGGCAGGAGCCTTGTTACCCTCTGTTTGGAAGCTGCCCTGCCCCGTCCCACAGAAGATCTGCCTCACTAGATTAACTCACTTAATCATTTAAAGACCCTTGGATCAATATTCAGCCAACCCTGTTGCTGCTTCTGTTTCAGCAACGACTTGGCAAGGCTGGGAGGGGAGCAGGCTGCCAGCCAAGGACACAATTACAAAGATGGAGGCGGGCAGTGCCTGACCTTTTTGGGCCCACGCCTCCCCATCTCATCGCTCTTCGAAACAATCCTACATGGAATTCTCCTTTAAAGCGCTGCTGCTGTTTTAGGAGACCTTGTGGCTGGTCCCAACTGCAGTTCCTGGAGACCTGGGAAAGGCTTCCTTGCCCTTTTTCAGGTCAAAGCCATTACAGTCGTAGGGTGGAGCCTTTGGGGTCACTGGGTATCGATGCAGTATCCCTTGCAGGCAGGTTCTGGCAAGGATGAGACCTTCCAAATAGCTTGGGGAAAGATTTCCTCTCTGCCACCAGAACGCAACTCAGCCCCAGGCGTATGGGAGGTCACAGCCTCACCCACCTCTGGCTGCAGGGCTGATGTCGGTCTCTGTGAGGGGACTTGCCTCCCCATCGCCTGGGCCTAGCTGGACTGCTGTCTTAGCCTAAGCTCTGCAGTCACTGCCTTGCTCACTTGCCATTTGTAAGGCTGTTGCCCTGGACCTATTGAAGCCTGCTAGCCATTTCTGGGGAGCTGCCAGGCTCCCTGCTATAACAGTGGTTACTGTCCATGCTGCACTGTTACATTCTGTATCTGTAACAAGGGTGGAAGTGTAGATTATGAGCTCTCTGTGTGCTATCTGTACAGCACCTAACACGATGGGACATTGATGCCTGACTGGGGTTCCTGGATGCCACCATAACACAGATAAGAATAAGTTGTATCAAGGAATCCGTCCTGTTAGTTTTCACTCCCATTCATTCACCCACCTTCCAGGGTTGCAAATGTTGTAATGCATGAGGGGGCAAGGGATTAAACCAAAACTAACTCCTGTCTATTCTTCCTGTTCCCCCCACAGGGTGGCTGCATCACTAAGCTGGAAAACTTCATCCAGGAACACCTGAAAATTATTGGAGCGGTGGGGATTGGCATTGCTTGTGTTCAGGTAAAGGGACTGACTGCTCGGGAGTGGGGAAGCTTGGCCCACGTTAGAAGGACCCTAGGACAGTGAAGCACCATCTGCCGAGCCCAGAGCATGGCTAGGAAGTTATGGCACTGATTCGTTGGAAGTTTGGTGTGTGGGTCTCCACAAACTGCTAATCTAAACTTGTGGGATCCAAGGTACAGATGCCCTGAGCTAGTTTCCTTTCTTTGTGTCTATAAAAACGGAGGTTTTAACTATGCTTCCAAGAGAGAAATTCCAATGCTAAAATCCAGTGCAGTGGGCTGAGGAGAGCTGAGCTCCGGTTTGCTCTGAAATGCGGACGCGGCCTGGGTCCTGCTGTTATCTACTGCAGAGTGAGGGAGACCTCTAGTGGGGACCCTCCACAATTACCAGCATAGATGTTGCCGAACCAGAGTAGTTTTGTGCCTGATTTTTTTCCTTTGCTTTGTCACCAGAGGTGAACTGTGCTGTGGTCTTAATACCACTGTGAGGATAATGTGAAAAAGTGACACACATTCCAGGGGCGGTACATGTCCTTTTAGCCTGCCTGTGTCTTAGAGGAAAGGTGCAGGATATTCTCTCTGGTTCAAGATTCAGGCTTTCCCAAGGGAGCGACAGTGGGATATGATCTCAGTTCCCCTTTTTCTGGCTAGTAACCGAACTGCACCAATTGGATGTCTGTGGCTGGTTGTAGGGGGAGACACCCTGCTTTGCTCATCGTCTCCTGCTGTTTTATTGAAACACAGAGCTTGGGTTTCCCAAATGCTCAGCTCATCCATTGAGCACCCATTGCGATCAAGGTCCAGTAGGAACGTTACGAGCTGCTTTCTCCTCATCCTCTCTACATCCAGAATGACCCCTCCCCTTCCAGAGTTCCTAGAAGTACAGTCAGTTCTCAGATGCTTTAAATCCAATGGAGCATGATTTTCCAGAGGTGCTGAATACATGCAGCTCCCAGCAACTTCAGCTGGAGTTGTGGGTGCTCAGCACTTCTGAAGATCAAGTCCTGTGTCAGACAGAGGAGTCAAACTGGCCTCTGTGAGAAGACCCAACTGGCTGATAGCTGTTAATCCGTTAGGGTACATAGACCCATCTTTACACAGCTGCCCCTAAGCACACATCATATTTCTCCGTCTCGTATCTCCTCACCCTTTAGATCTTTGGAATGATCTTCACCTGCTGCTTGTACAAGAGTTTAAAGTCAGAACCATACTAGGAGCACCAGAAATCCATCAGCTCCCCCTCTACCACCACCCTCAATGTCTGTCAACCCCACCAGCTTCTACCCAGCAGCAAAGAAACATCAGTAACTCGAGGACTTCCTTATGAAGTGACTCTTGGATCATCCAGCACCTACCCTGCCTCTGCCAGAGAAGGCCACCCTCCTTGAGGTGGCACAGGACGGCCAGGAGTTCAGGGGGTTCCCTGTGTGTTCTAGAGCAATTGAACTGCAGATTCCACTCTGCTAGAAGCTTTAACAAACCAGGCCCATGTTGCAACCTCAAAGAGAAATCATCCAAGCCCATTGGGGCCCAGCTGTTGAGGTATCGGGATTCCACACAAGAACAATGGTTCGCTCTGGCTGATAGACCACTCAGCAGTCTGTGCGCCGACCATGAGGACGGATGATGTCTCTGTGCTGGGTGGGAGCCCACATCAATTCTCACATCCAGAAGGTTCCCCTTGGGCCGTGCCCATGCCCTAACAGAGCTATATTCCATCTATACCTGCTCTTGTCAGTTGCTGCCGTCACCTCTCTCCATCTCCCCAGCAGGAGGGTGACCTGCCAGAACTCTGATCTTGCCCGAGGTGTGGTCGGCTGGGGTTACCTTGCCCCTTCTTCCTCGAAGCCTCCATCCCACTCAGAGCCCATTGGGGGAACAGGGGCTCTTTGCCTTCAGTGACTGGAGAGGGAGTGTTCAATCATTTTCTGACTCTCTGCGATTTATATTTTATTTAGTGGTTTCCAGTGTAAATGGGAAAAATTAACTTGTCCCCCCTCCTGCTCCCTGTCTGGCAGGCCCTGGGCCATGAGGGGAATGTGTTGTACCTTGCCACATATGGGTGTTTAAATCCTTTGCCCTTTCAGTTGCCGGAATGGCCTACTGAAACACCACTCCCCAGAGAAACCCTCTCATGTGACGAGATACTCCCCAGCCGTATAGGATTAATTCCTGCCCAAGAGAGACAGGTGTGGAGGCTGCAAAGGAAATGCACTAAGGGTTTTGTACAGGCCTCCCTGGATCTCATTAATCAGTTAGGCACTCTCTGGCTCTAATTAAACCTGTAACGCTGTTTTCTCATTCCTCTCACCCAGTAACCTGCAGGGTCAGCTTCATCTGACTGCAAAATAGACTCGGTAAAGTGGTAGTACCAGGGGATGCTAGTTAACTGTCTGGTTAGTGTAAATGCATCGTGACTTCACTAGAATCCGTGACACTTTTCAGGGGAAAAGATGTCTGTTGCCAACATAGTCCCTCCCTATGGCTGTGAACCATGGTGCCAACTGGGTGCTAGCTTGAATTCCTGGCAGCTGCCCTGCTGCGCAGGGATGTTGTTCTGAATCGCCGATGTTCCATCGATGCTTCCGAAGGATAGACCCGGCACACAGGCACCTGGCAGGCTTTGCTTGGTGCAGCTGTGAAATTTACATAGCACCTTTAGAGACGCATGGGTGAAAATTGGGTCCTCGAATGCCCAAACTGGTAATTAGCTCTGAAGTGAAACTAAATCAGGAATGGATGCCTTTCTAAAAAAAAACGTGCTGAAGCTCAACCTTCAGAGATGGGTTTGATGCAGGAGTGCTTCCCATCATAAGCACTGTCAGTAACCCCCTTCCATCCCAGGCATTCACGCTATGCACCCAGCACAGCATCCTATGCGCGGTGACCCCTGCTCCAAACGATTTACTACGCCACCCAGCACAGCAACAGAGTCATGGCATTCCCTGGGGCTGGATCCTATACCCTTCCATGCTCTGATTAAGTTTTGCTTCACAGAGATCTCTGTGGTCCTGGTGCTGGAGGGGAGAAATCACAAGCTACTAAGGTATGTAATTTACCCCTGATGATCAGCAACTGCAAATCCCATCCCCCCAAACTGATTACTCCCCTCTCAGTCCCTTCAGAAGTTGGCCAGGGACAGCAGAGCCAGGGTGAAGTGATGACTTAAAAGCACATGTTGGGTTGTGTAGTAAAGTGAATAACGCAGGGCTGTGTGGGTTGGCCGCCTTGAGAGTCCCAGCCTAAGAGTGTCTGTGGGTCCTTGGAGACACTTCCTCTGTCAGTAAGAGTGAACAGAGGTGGAGTGTGGATTGGGAAAGTGCGTTCACTGCAGGAAGACAGTATAAGCTGAGTGACTTATTCCCTTCCTTGGCCTTTTGTTATGGAGTCTGTCGTGACTCTGGGCACATACTGAGACCAGCAGCCGGACAGTTAACAGTTGTGGAATCCCCCAGTGTCCCACAGGGCCTGTTACACTATCAGGAGGCTTTGCTCCATATACCAGAAACCTCCCGGTAAGAGGTTAAAAGGTGATGAGGTGCGGGGGGAAAATCAGGGCAGGTGAAACTGGGAATCCCCAATGCAGCAGCAACATGAAATCATTCTAGATGCTAACGCAGGCAAAGAGCATGGGGGAGGGGCATTTTTGCCCCTGGGGTGGTGGAAGGGGGAAAGAGAACCTAAATTATTACAGAACGCTCTAAAGGATAAAACTCTAAATTATTGCTCGTTTTACACTTCAGTTCCTGAGAAGTTGACTATTAACAAAAAGGAAAATACTGAGCACATTGCTTGAAGCAATATTTCTAGTTACTTAAGTGTGTATTGCTAGTTGTCTATACCCACTCCCTGGAAGGCATACTGTCCAGAGGGAGGGAGTGACCAGGCCTTTGTCCGCTGAGCTGTTTCCCCCATGTCATAGTCATGGTTTGTTTGTTTTTATAACTCACTTTAAGTTGCTGGTCAATTGACAATAAAGCTAAAGACTCTACTTATCCTTTGTACCAATACCAAAGAGATAACATGCAGTCATGGTTTCGCAGGATTGCAGGGTCCACAGCGACAGGAAGGGTCTCAGAGAAAACAGGCTAAAGCTGGGGGTTCACGATCCTCAAAGGGGTTGCAAACAACTGTGAGGAAATCCCACCAACCCTGCCCTTCCCCTATTGCTCAGTGGGAGCGGGGGTCTCCAGATGGAAAAGCGCTGATCTACAGGAGCTGGTTTGCAGAGTGCTGAGCACTTGCGGGTCCTGGGAGCTGTTGTTGCTCAGTGCTCCTGGATATCCGACCCTGCAAGGTGCTGAGAGCCATTAACCCCCATTGAAGCCAATACAAGTTTAGAGCATTCGGCACTTCCTGTTCCCCAGCAAGAGGCCTGATCAGAGCTCATGGATGTCTATGGGAAAACTCTCATTGGCTTCACTGGGCTTCGGATCAGGCCCAGGCTGAAGCATGTGTCTCGGGGCACGAGTGTGCGTAGTATACAGTACACACTGTAAATAACAAGGGATGAATAAATAGTGAGCATGGGACAGGATAAAAAAACCAGCTGGACTCAGCTGGTCCTTCAAACCTGAACAAGTTGATCTGGGAGAATAGAGTGGGAAGCAGGAGACAAATTAGTTCCGTGGCACTGTTTAGCCAGCTTGATAGGGGTCCAGTCCCGCAAGGTGCTGAGCCACCACAGCTCCTAAGGTAGCTCCGGACCCAGCAGCTCATGGAGTCAGGCCCTGAGTGAGCGCACACACAGCTGTTTGCACACACTGTGCCGCATGCTCAGCTTCACATTCATTGCCCTAGTGAGAAAGGCCCTGCTGTCCATGACACATGCAAAGAGTGACAGCAGAGGCAAGCTCAGTACAGCTCCCATAGGCTCTGCCAGGGGGCAGCTCCTGTCCAGCCCAGTGGCTAGTGCTGCTGCCTCTGGCCTGCTAGGGGCTGTGTTCAAGTCCTGGCAGCAGCAACAGGCAGGATGTGCGTGAGCAGTGAGTCCAACCCCTGGCCAGAGAGCCCTGTTCCGTGGTTAATTCTGCTCTACCGGCTGACCACCAGTCGCACTCACCCACGCACACTACTCTTAACTGAAGTCCTCCACATCTGGTACAGTGGCTTGCACTGGCTACTGCAGGTCAGTGGAATGCAGCACCAGTGTGTTGCTATACGATGAGCTCTGCTTCTGTCTTGGGGCCTGTGCTGCAGGGATGCATTCCTGTGTCTGTGGCCTGGGCACATGTGTGCCCTTGGCATAACTCACAGCAGTCTAGTCTCAGCCCTGGATGTGTGCACGGAGAGTGCAGGAGCAGATGAGTCTGGCAGCCTCTTTGCAGTCCAGCTTTGAGCTCACCCTGTGTTTGCCGTAGGAATTAAAAATGACAACCGTAAACCACAAGTGCCCTCCTTATTAGCCCTGTGCCAATATCATAGGAGTGAAAGGCTGGAGAAATGTCCTGCTATTAACGTGTCTGACCACAGAGTGGCACTGTGCATCCCACATAGAGTCATTGCATGAAGCATTGCTGCATCCCAGCTAACCAAGCTGGGCCTAATGCAAATGGTGCAGCTTTAGGGGGTGCGCCTGCCAGGCGCCTCTCCAGACCCGAGGAGAGCATATTGCACGTAACTCCAGAAGTGGAGAGGCCTCTGCTCCCCTCCTCTGATGGAAGGAAGTTAGTTGCAGCTCTAGAAAAATGTGCATTTTCACATCACAGGGGAGATTCTGTTATTGCAGACTGTGCCAAGGTTGGCCTGGGGCATGGGAAAATGTTGCAATGTACTCAGGCCTAAAAGGGGGGATATGAGAGCAAAAGCCTGTTCAAACCACCTTATGTAATAAATACAGTTCTTGGTTCACCCTTTGCCTGTCCTTCCCTCATGTTCCTAGCTTTGTTTCCTCCCGGGGCAGTTCACATGCATTGGAACTGGCCCAGCCAGAAGTATCACACAGCACTTCCTCCACTGAGCACCATCGGCTCATTCACTTGTACGTCCTGCGCTCAGGGCAGGCCAGTTACACTTTATTGTTACGCCCATCGCGGTTCTAATTGGCTTAGCTCTTGGAGCCCAATGGGCACGCGACAAAATCTCTGGTCCCTTTGGGAGTGTTGGAAAACACACCACTCTGACTGGGATAGTCCTCCTCACCTTCACACCTCAGGATAACCCCACTGCCCCTCCTCATTGTCGTATGCTTCACACTAACCCAACTGCCCCTTCCCTGGCCCCATTGTCCTCTCCCCAGTGCCCTCTGCCCCATACTAACCCAACTACCCCCTCCCCATTGCTGTATGCCCCACGCTAACCCAATTGCCTTCTCACCATCTTCCTTGAGATGCCAAGCCAAGAAAATGTATTGGGATCTCTACAGAGAGCCCCACTCCTCCCATGTCTCCTATTTAATCTGGAGGGTTTCCCAAGAGACCTCGTAAAGCTTGTTTCTTTTGCAGCCTATGAATTCTCCCCCTCCCATCTCCATCCCCACTTACTCCCTCTCTTTGACCATGGGGCTGCCCATAATATCGTTCATCCCCTTGATCAAATGAATTATTTTGTGGCAGTCCAAGGGCCCGTGTTGTACAGGTCGGACGAGATGATCACAGTGCTCCCTTCTGGCCTTCGGATCTATGAATTTGCCTCATGCTGCTCTGCCCTCCTCCTAGTGCTCTGAGTGGGGTTCAGCAAAGCACACTGCTTCATGGAGAACTTAATATTGCAAGCATCTTAGTTGCAGAACGGTGCTTTTAGCCATGACTGATGTTTTGTATAACTGTTTTTGTACTAATGTGGATGGCGGTTGACACTGAAATCGGGATTTGCGAGATGTTAGCCCCTTGCCAGGGCACCTGTTAGCGTTTCACTGCCAGCCGCCTGTCTTTGGTTCACGGTGCACTGGTTAGCACGGCTCGCACAGGGACCGAGGCGCTGCACACGCGTCACACATTGGTTAGCATTGGTCAGGTGTGTGCCTGTGAGGTGCACATGTGTTGCTCACTGCACCGCTGGCTAACATTGCTCACACGCGGCCCTGGGAGCTGCTATAAGATGCTAAATAGCAATTGGGGTTTTACTATTCTGCTATTTGTAACCTGGCCTATTTCCATGCTATTAAAGTGCAGCTATTATAACCTCCAACTGTGTCACTTTCCTCTTTGGAGAGAGGTTACTGCAGGAAAAACACTAGCTAATAAAGCTGTTCTGTTTAAAAGCCACATCATGACTAGGGGCTGTGGCTGTGTTGGTGATATCTCCTGGCTTGCTGGGAGGGGAGGAGGAATAGACAACAGAAAGATCTATGCAGAGTCCCTAGAAAAGGTAAATTTTGGGGGGGTTTATTCACTCAACCTATAATCATATGAACAGCAGGGATGGCTGGTGCCCAACAAATGTATTCAATGAATCATTGTTCAACCATTAAGCATACAGGGGTTTAAAATCTTCTTACTCACTGTAAAAGAAGCGTGTTCCCTGGCATCGTAACCACTGCCTACATTAAGGGAAAGAAATTCACACACTGAGCACATTAAGATCAGTTGCTTTCTCTCTTTCTAATCGCTGCTCCATGGTACAGACAATAGCTTTTCAGTGCTGGGCATTTCCAGCACCACTTGCTAGCAGCAGGTGCTATTATTCACACTGAAGGAAAGATTCCTGCATGACCAGGAGAGTGAGCTATGTTCCTGCGTGAAATGCTGGTTCCTCTCAAGTGCTAACAGTCTTGCAAACATACCCTGGGGCAGGATTTCCCAAACTCTGGACAGCTGAGCCACCATCAGGAAACAAATCCACAAGCATCTCCTTTCAGTTCGGCCAGGTGCTGTAAAAGGCCTACCCAAAATAAGGGCTCACCTAAGCAGATTGTGCAGGTCTTCACAATATACGTCCTCTCTATTGTTACATGTTTTGGAGAACAGCGATATAGTTAACAATGGTGGTATGTAAAGTACCATCATTGTTTTCTGAATTAGCACTCAGTGAGGTGAACAGAACAGCTTGGTCTTCAGCACTATTGTTTCAGGCTCTCTGCAGACTCAGGCAGACATTACAGCATTGGTTACACTTAGGTTACGTGTTGAAGGTTTTCTTTGCAATTGTAACAGCTCGAGATGAACTTTTTTTTTAAAATGTAAGCTGAGACTTTGGAGAACAGTTGAGAAGCATGGCTCACCCTATGTGCCCTCCAGGGTGGGAGTGCCCTTAATGCCATGCTGGGGCATTTACTCAGTACTGACTAAGAGGGAAGAGTGCCCTGGACTGATTCGCAAGCATTATTTCTTACAGCACGTGGGTGTTCTTGAAGGTCTCCATCCAAGCACTGACCTTCCTTGACCCTGCTTAGACAAGGAGGTACACAAATAAGATATGCAATGTGCAGCCTATTTCCTTCAAACTGTTCCCCCAAAATGCTTTACTGGGTTAACTACTGTAATGAATTGACTGGCCTATGCTGTCCTGATTCAGAACTGCTCAGCTGTGTGTCCTAGGCTATATATTGGTAGCAGCTAATGGAGATTCTTTTTCAAAACAGGGAACACAGTCCTGTGGTTTGAAAACAGGAGGAGGATCTGGGTGAAATCCCTGCTGCCATTGTGAAATGCTTGGGGCCGCGGTGTGCAGTGTAGTGACAACCACCATGTCCCAGGCAGCCGCAGATTTGTTACAATATAGTAGCAGAGGCAAGAGGGGAAAGCGAGGTTTTCAGATCAGCTCTTCTCCTTCTCCCACATGAGACGCCTCCGGCTCTCCTGCCATCCAGCCCAATTTTCCTTTATTCTGGCTGCCCAATCAGCAGGGGCAACACACACCTGCCGTGTTGCTGCATGGGGGGCGGGGGAGGGGAGGGAAAGGGGAGAGAGGGAAAGGAGTTTGCAGTGGAAGCAGCAGGGCAACTTGTTTCCTAATTTGCTCAGAATGAAGGTTCCCACTAAAATGGCTCCCCACTAAGTGGTCACCATAGAAACCTGCTCAGGTTCTCAAAGAAGCACTGCTCCCTGCAGGGGCAGGGACTCTCTTCTACTTGAGTTCTCCTGGAGTTTTAGCTGACCTGTTCTCACACACCGGCAGCAACAAAGCACCAGCTGCTCCCCTACCTGAGGGATGTCTAGGCCGGCTGCCTCTCCCAGGAATATCCAAGCTCATCGGCAGGTCATTCCACAGCACACACATTGCTTTCTCTCCAACCTAGACATGCCCAGTTTAATTTTCAAGCCAGGGCTCTGGCCACTCTGAAGCACTATAAATAATCCTGCCTTATATCTTTATATTAAAACCTTTCACACTGGTAATGGTAACATTACCCTAGCTGCTTCTCAAAGCCCTTTCATTGAAAGGAATCTCATAATCATTTATTAAGGCTCACAGCACCCATGTGAGGTATTATCTCCATTTTACTGATGGGGAAACTGAGGCACCGAGCGGCCAAATCTTGTCCAAGACCACACAGCAAGTCAGAAGCAAAGCAGGCAATGGAATCCAGAGGTCCTGAATCACAGTCGTGTGTGTGGATTTTCCGTAGGATCCAGTATTATAAAATGCTGTACTGTAATCATTGGCCCACGTGCCCTCAGAGATACTGAGCTATTGCTTAACTTTGGTATGTCTCTCTGCTCCTTTTCCTCCAAGATCTGCCTATTTAATCCACATTTAGGCCTCTCCTCACTGTTCAGATCTTCTAAACCTTTAACTCCCTTGCTTTGGACTCTCTAAGCTGTTGATGCCTGTTCTGTAATGTGGGGCACCAAAATGTAGAATGAGTGGAGTGACAGTCTTATGGATAAGACTGTGCTGGGACTCAGGAGATCGGGATCAGTTCCTGGCTCTGCCACAGACTCCCCTTTCTTCCTTTTGCCTGTCTTGTCTATTTAGAGTTCTAGTGTCTATCTGTATGTGTACGTGCAGCACCTGGCACACCGAGGCCACTAGGCTCTATTGCAGTACAAATAATAAATCCTATCTAACCAAGGTTGTAAAAAGAGCCATCCTTACCCCTCTATTCCTACAGGTACCAATCCTGGTTATATACCGCTGAAGGGCATTTTTAGCTTTTTTTCCATCTTTGTCACATTGCAGACTAGCCCCGCCCCCCCATTCGTTTTCCATATTGCTCTTGAGACAGCACTCTCCTGTTATATGTGCCTACACTTGTGCGTCACGCAGTATTTTACATTTAGCTGAATCAGACCTCATCACATTTTGACTTGCCCATCTCTCCTTGTCACACTATAATTTCCATTCATCCTCCTGTGTTTTTTCAGTCCCTTCTAGTTTTGTCTGATCCGCAAATGTGATCAATAGTGTAATTTATTCCCTCCCCAGGCCATTCGTGAAGGTTTTAAATAATATCCAGCCTAAGACTGATCTGGTGCTTCTTTGCTTCATACCTCATGCTATGTTGATGGGGTTCGGCTCAGGGTTAATTTATTTATGGACTGTCAGGTCCATATCCATGTGACAATCGTCTCAAAAGGAATATTTCAACGATTTATCCAGATTTCAGAATCATACACCCCTGAATCAAATAGAATGGAGCTGGATTTTTAAAATACAACCCTCCCCCAGTAAAACTTTTTCTTTAACTGTGGCTAAAGCACTGGAGTGGGAGTCAGGAGATTTGAGTTCATTTGCCAGCTCTGCCACAGATTTGGTCAAGTCAAAAGAGTTCTGTGCCCATTTATGCACCTAGAAGAAGGGGCCAGATTGTCAGACGTGCTCTGCACTTGCCAGCTTCCTCTGCTCTCTATGGAGCTGAGGAGGGGTCAGCACCTTAGGCAATTAAACCCAGATTTTCCCAAATGGGAGCTGAGCTCATTCGAAAATCTGGGCCCACTCGTAGATGCAGCTGGGCCCTTTTGAAAAATCTGGTTGTTAGTCTTTCTGTGCCTCTGTTTCCCATTTGTACAGACAGGGCTATGAATATTTCCTTTGTCTTGTCCCTTTAGCTTGTCAGGTTTCTCTTACCGTGTGTATGCACAATGCCTAGCCCAACTCTTATCTGTCTGGGAACCTGAAAGTACTCCTGTAATAGAAATAATAAGAAGAATTATTGCACCGAAGCAGTTATGTAGCCATGAAAATGCTGAACGTCAACCGCATTTCTATTACATTGATTTCAATCAGGAAAACAAATCTAGTTTCAGCAAGTATTTCAATTTTTGTTTGGTGGCAAATAGCGTTTTGCTTTGAGTTAATTCAATTCTGTTTGTTTTATAGGCAAAAGATTTCTGGAGTTTGTATATGAACACAGATAAACTGTATTCTCCACACACCCTTGGAAAGTGCTTCGCTTTCTATTGCACTAGCACTAGTCCTCAGCTGAGATGGGGGTCCCACTGCGCTAGGGGCTGTGCGCACACATTGTAGCACAGTGTCATCTTGTGGGCCCTGCAGGTATCTAACAGGAAGTAGGCTAGAGATTGAGTGGCAACAGTTTAGAGTTTTTCTGAGGAAGATACTGAATCTGTTATCATCCATGATGTTGCAGATGCAATTGTTAAAGAAAAGAAATTGCACTGACATCTGCGACTCATTGCTTCTCAGGAACTTTGCCGGTAGAGCAAACGACAGTCCATACCTCAACAGCTTACAGTCCAAGTTAACACCTCTGAACTGCTTTCCCGTTATCTACAGGTGTGAGGGGAAAGGAGAGATCCCCCTGTTCATCTGCTTGAAAACAGGCTAAAGAGTATAAGACTCCAGGTGTGGCACATTCCGGTGATTAGCTTGGCTTCGGTACCCTCCCTAACCGGAAGTTTCTTCTAGCAAGGTGTCCATATGCTCTAATGAACTCAATGCTGGGGCAGGGAGGATGTTGAGCTCATTGCCAAGATAAGGGCCTTGGGCTGGGGGAAGAATAGAGCAAAGAAGCAGGGTGGAGTGTATGTGCTTGCTAATCAACTGACATCTTATTTCTGTGTGTGTGTGTGAAAGGAGCACTGAGGAGGTAGGAGAGAGAAGAAGAGGGGTTGTAGGAAAGGGAGAGTAGGAACAGGAAGTGGATCTTTCCAGCGTCTCCTTAAACATCTCTTGTATAAGGTAAGTGCCATTAAGTCCCCTCTTTGGGGGTGGGGAGATATAGAAACTTTCCTCCCAGGTTCAGCTATTTCCCAGGATTGTGGCTGGACTCTGTGTGATGACTT